GTATCGCTATGATGTTATCATCATCCAAGTGCAATATGAAGAGGATTGACCGTCTGGTAATTACAAAATAAAAAATTTATTTTACCCACCCAAAATGAATCTTTTTACTTTTTTTTACTTTTTTGAGTTTTCAATAGAGCTGGCACCTTTCGAACCCTGGTTTTCGTATCCACTAATTGCGACTCAAGAACAAGTTTTCCAATAAAAGTGAAAGGGATAAAATATGCTTGATAAAATGTTTGCAATTTAATTCTTTTCTGGAAACACCATTATCGAAATAAACTATAATTTTTGAATCAGACTAAATGCGAAAATGACGTTCTTGGGAGCTAGCTTTCTCAAACCGGAAGTCAAACCTGCGCAAACAGACGTGAAAACCGACCCGGTACTGCATCCTTAAGTTGTTTTCCTGGAATCGCGATGACAAGATTTATCTTGAAACGTCCTAGATGGCCACTAGAATGCAAGATGGCTGCCGGAAAGTTAAATAGCTCTAGAACGTCTTACCATGTAACATGTGTGAAAATCTGAAGTAAATCAGTTTGGTTTTCCTGAAATCGCGATGACAAGATTTATTACAAAACTTCCATGATGGCCGCCAAAATGCAAAATGGCCACCGGAATAGGAATGAGCTCTAGGACTTCTTACCATGTAACATCTATCAACATTTGAAGTACATCTGTAAAGTGTTTTTTCTGGAATCGCGATGACAATATTTATCTAAAAAATTCTAAGATGGCCACCAGAATTCAAGATGGCTGCCGGAAAGTTAATCAGCTCTAGAATTTCTTATGTAACATGTGTGAAAATTTGAAGTAAATCCATCTGGTGGTTTTCCTGGAATCGTGATGACTATAAAGTGAGACTTCAGAATGCCACCTTGTCTAACCCCATTTTTGTGCCTTTTGCCCCTGTTTCTATCAATATAAGAGGTAATTTCTTTATACCTGTCAAACGGTACAATAATTTTATGTGGGAAAGTACCGGACAACAAAACTTGTTTTCACAGGGACCAGATCAGGGACTATACCTCAGGTTTGCTAACACCCACGTAGACCATGAGCCAATTATTCATTGGAAACTTGGGATAATGGATCCCTCCAGATTATGGGAATATGCCCAATTATTATATCTCATTGTACTCTCTACTGAAGAAGAACAGTTTTGCCTAGCCCGTGCCAAAACAACAAACGACATTGTCAAACACTTCATTTTAGAATGTTCATCTCTAAGTGCAACAAGAGATACATTTTTTAAAAATATTGTTAATCTATTACCTGTTGAAGACTCAATTAACATGTTAAACTCTGATGACGATGTCTTAGTAGAATGTTCATTGGGTAGTCGCACAGATGTATTACAGATTTACGATTTTGCGAAATGGCAAAAATTTATTAACCTTTGTTCCAATCAAATCAGCGTTATGCTTAAAGAATTCACGTCGTAAGCAAATATCACCTTATATTACTCATCTCGCCACATATTGTATCTTATGTATATACTGTTATCTAATATTTTGTTTTTGTATTAATTTACTCTCCAAATTGGAGGAAATAAAGAATCATATCATATCATATTCTAAGCATACGAACAAAAAATATATTATCATAATGTAAAAATATACTATAATTTTACTGTATATGTCGGTGTTTAATTAGTGTAATTACGCAAGTGTGTTTTTCAGATTTTGTTTGATTTTTCAAATATGAGCCAAGCAGATTCAACAAAATTGTGTGGAATATTTAGGTAATTTATGATTGGGAACATATTAGTTTTCTTACCATTTAAAACATTTAATTATCAGAATTTTCCGTATAATCGCAAGGGGTCAAACAACAAATTATTGTTCATGTCTTATAAAACACAATAAAATAACAAATAGGTAATATAATCGCAAGGGGTCAAGATGGCCACCAGAATTTAATCTAATTAAATGGTACAGAGGTATTCTTACTCGACGTTACTGCTGGTTATCATCAAGTTTTCTGATGGTTGTTTCTTCTTTGACTTTACCGCTGGATATAATCAAATTTCAGGAAGATAGTGATGACGATTTTTCTCAATTATTCATGAATTCGACCAAGTCTTGATGGTTGTTTCATAAGCAACTGACCTATATCTAACTACGAAAAATAGAATTTTAGCTGCAGTCCCAGTTAGTCAAGGAAGAGCAATAGCCCCTCCCTCATTGATAATGTTCACCGCTGAATAAAAGTCCATAGCTCAAAACGTATTGAGACCCATTTTGTGAAAAACGAGCATAATTTAAGCATTTGTCATTCTAATTTAAAAGTGATTCATTTGTAGCTTTTATCTTACTAATACCAGAGAAACAATACAAAACGTCGATACACTGATTACATAATTGTTTGGTATTTAGAAACCTAAATCATATATTTAAAATAATTTTGTATTATTTTCTGTTACATTGTGTACTCCAAATTGTGAAAAAGTGATTGGGATTTTATTTTTTGGCAATTTTTTTACCTCTGTTAACGATATTCTAATGAGACTTCTCCGTGGCATTTTTTCTTTATTCCTTTTTGTTTTGAATTTTTTACACCATAACATTAACTAACTACTCAATATGCAACTTTTCACCACGTAGAATTTTAAAATATTAAGTTTGAAAATTCCATTTTTATAATGGAGCTCAATGGAAAAACGACATAATTTGAATTGTTTTGAAATGTAGCGGCGCGATTTTCTTGAAATTTACAGATATAATAAATATTGGTAAGACGAAATGTTTGAAGAAAAATGAAGAAAATTCACAGTCCTGGTTACGCAAAATATAGAAAATATGAAATAATCATAAAAACCTGTAAAAATAGATTGAGGGGGTGATAATCATTTTTAATGTGACTTTCACTACTATAGGGTAACCATAGTTTTGGTAATGGTTTACCAATTTTAAAAGCATATCTTCCAGCATATGTATCAAGCACAAGTAATACAATAAGTGAGTTATCATTAATTGGAATGGTATTATTGTATTCCTTAGCAATGATGACAAAAAGGTAAAATCAATCATATCACATATCATCAAATCGATCTATTATAATGCATATTAAACAATATAGCACTAGATCTTCAAATTCGAGAATTCAGCTAAATGATAAGATGTCAAAAAGAGTAGTTTATTTATTGTAAAACATCAAAAATAAAACAAGGTTTGGTCAGGAAGGGAACAGGTGAAATCCTTGGGATATATGAATTAATTAATTATAAGAAACATATTCATGTTTCTACAATTTAGGGTAACCCTGTGTATTATTCTACTGCCCATGGCTATACCAGTGCAAAATATTACAAAAATATTATTTACTTTTTATCATAATTCAATGTGACAATATCAGTCTTATCTTCAAATTTGTCTATAATAGTTTGCCTGTAAGGTTGAGCAAGCAGTCTATTGCATTGATAGTATAAGATGTTGATTTTGCAAAGCTTTTATGGGCTAATTCTACAATATGTACAGTAACATATGTAAGGGTGCCAGTTTGTAGTCCAGTATATAGTAAACAAAGGAGTATTTTGGTCAACTCAATAAATCTGATACACACTACATGAAGTGTTTTCTATGCAATGATTATATACAGGCACTTATTCATTGTTACTGCGAATTTCAAAAGCCTCCAAATTGGGTGGAATAGAGCATGCAATGTTTTTCAGTTTCAAGCAGGTTTTAGTACATTCTGACCAATTGTATTTTCAGACTTATTCATTTCATGATTATGTAATACTGACCTACTTATCTTCTTAGCATATCTTTAATGGCAGGCATAATTCAGCCTAAAAGCCGGAAGTATATTAAACGGTTATAATAAGAAATTATTAGGGAACATCTGTATGTATGCTAATGTTAGGTCAAATATCGCTGCACTATAGTGTGCTACCAGCTCCTTTATCAGACGTCCTAGAGATGTCATACCATGGACTAATACATACAGTACATACAGTACATACACACATACATACATACATACATACATACACAGCCTACCACTTGGGGCTGTATTCCCCAGGAGTTTATTAGGGACTAGGTCCATCAGACAATATTTCTTATTTCGGTAGGACTAGAAATATGTTCATACAATTATTACAAAAATAAAACTTAAAAATGCGGTATTTAAGACAGACCAGCTGGTATATTATATAGGAACTGTATCAGTTTTCGTATTCACTGAACCAAGATATGAGCCCGTTTTCGTATTTTTCTGACTTCATTTACGTAACTTAAGTGAGGAAGTATATTGATGCTTTTAAAGTCTTACACCCCAGTCACATTTCCTACGGCGACCTTGCGGTCTATCATTTCTGCGGCCAGTAGCTTTTCTACGCTCGCCGCAGAATTCCTGCGCTCTCGTACTTTTGCAGTCACATTTCCCACGGCAGCCGCACGGTGAATTTTAAATTTATATTGATAAATAATAGTTTTTTTTCATTTTATTTACATCAGGACAATTTATAAATGTTATTCAAAGTGCTAGGATGTAATATCAAATGAAAAGTGATCGTGAAACATTGACAAATAATGATTCAATCTTGTTGAGCCAGTTGATTTCTACGGGGACCTCAGAAATGAACAAATATTATAACTCCGAGTTATAATTTCTACGCCTTCCCTGCGGCCTGTAAAAATCTGCATACGCCGTACGGAGGCCGCAAGGCGAGCGTAGTTTTTCTACGCTCGCCGCAGAAATTCACCGATTTAATTGTTCTGCGGTCGACTTGCGGCCGCCGTGCGACAAATGTGACTGGGGTGTTACGCAGTGATTCGTTTGAAAAAGTTTACATTTTCTGAAACATAAGACCATGAATTACGTTTGTGCCAAAAAAGGTAGAAATGATTTTGCCTACATCTCACATATTTTTTCGAATAACTGTTGTGCCATTTTGTTACGAAATCGGATCAGGATTAGGTTATGCATTAATAAACAACTTACATCTTAGAAGCAATCATATTTCTTTATTTACCATGTTTCATTTGCAACAAAAATGGTTTGTTCTATTTAATTGGCTCCTAAGACTCTTACACTTCCTTTACCACAGACCTTCTCACCAATTTGCATAACGGTGTCTCTGAGTCTTGTAAAGTCTGCGCTTAATATGTTAATCATGAGGTCTGGATTGTCACTAGCTCCAGAAATACGCATCCATTCTTCTTGTCCAATAACTTGTGGTACACAGTTAGGTTTATTTGGCTTACAGCCCTGAGGCAGACCAACCACCAGGATAACCGCGCCAGTGGCTCTTAGGGAATCCGCGTTATCATATGTGTCTTGTACTTTGCCTAAAATGGAACATTGTGGTCAGAAACATCGAAGAAGCCTATAGCTATCTCTCAGTCACACAAAACTAGATCTCAACTTGTCTTATCTCGTCCTAACACCCCAGTCACATTTCCTACGGCGACCTTGCGGTCTATCATTTCTGCGGCCAGTAACATTTCTACGCTCGCCGTGGAATTTCTGCGCTCTCATACTTTTGCAGTCACATTTCCCACGGCACCCGCACGGTGAATTTTAAATTTCTGTTGATAAATAATACTTTTTTCATAAATGTTATTCATAGTGCTAGGATGTAATATCAAATGAAAAGTGATCCTGAAACATTGACAAATAATGATTCAATCTTAAGTTGAGCCAGTTGATTTCTCCGGGGACCTCAGAAATGAACAAATATTATAACTCCGAGTTATAATTTCTACGGCGACCCTGCGGCCTGTAAAAAACTGGATACGCCGTACGGAGGCCGCAAGGCGAGCGTAGTTTTTTTACGCTCGCCGCAGAAATACACTGATTTAATTGATCTGCGGTCGACGCACGCCCTCCGTACGACAAATGTGACTGGGGTGTTAATCGTAAAACGGACGGTGGTCGGGTTGAAACGTTCTAAAATACGATGCAGGTACTGTAGCGATTTTAGGCATTTTGATCGGGTTGTTGTCGGGGCAAATTATTATGTGACTATCTGAGGTTATGTTTTTATCTGATTAAAGTATCCGGTCTTGTGCGCCGCAGATAATGTGGAAGAGGTCAACATTTAGTCTTAACCTTAAAGCCACTGCAGTAAAATTTCAACAAAATCGCTCCACTACTTTTTCAGTTATAGCAAAAACGAAAAATAGTACTCATAAAATGGACTCCATTTTTCAAAATGGCCGCTTACTAGCCAAATTGTCATACGAAAGTAAAATATCTGCACTTTTTAAATGGCCGCTCGCTAGTAAAGGAGGGGGAGTTCTTTGTCGAATGAATTGGGGGCGTTTTTTATGCATTTCGCTTATGTTTTTCATCCAAAAAACATCAATACACTTTTAAACATTTTATTGACTACAGGGCGTCGAATAAGTCTGTTCTCCCCATTAACTTTTTTATTTTTAAAGTTATCATACTTTCTAATATATCATTCTATAGCTTATTAAAAATCATTAATGAACTCTTTCTAATAAAATTGCTACAATGTTCCTTGAAAGGATGAGGTTGACAATTGGTTACATCAAAAATTGTAAAATTACCAGGATAATGGATGAATGGTGAAACATTGTTCAAATGTATCAAGAAAGCTCTCAGAAGCCTTGAGAGTGCAACACCCCTGTTTGTGAACAATTTGGAATCGTATCCTCATAGAATTGAGGCTGTCTGAGCTGAGGGGTCATACACCAAGCTTTCGCAGTGACTGCGACTTTCCAACAAGGTTCGGAAAGACATTTTATTTCATTCTCAAGAATTGGTAGAAAGGAACAAAAAACAATTGCACTAAAAACAAAAAATGTTAACAAAAACAGTTATATAAAATATATATAAATACTCTTTGCATTAACGGAAAGCCTTGATTTGATTGGTTGCGAGAATCGCCTCTAAATGTAAAACCATATATGCTAATACTGTACTAATATGTACTAATATATGAATCCTGGATTGATTGAGTAAGTTTATTACGCGAGATTGGTACCTTATACTTCTGCTAAGTTAATATATTCGATACACAGTACTGTAGATTCAGTAATCATTATAGTAATTTATAACGTTTTACTTGTTCGTTCAATCGATGCAATTGACAATTGCGTATTTCCGTATCACGTTCTCATTGGTTAGTGTGTATGCCATATACCGCAGGTGAATCTGTCATACACCGCAGGTGAATATGTCATATTCGTTGCGGAATATGACATATTTTTGTATCGTGTTTACCGAGTAATAAATGAGGCGATATGTTTCTTAAATTTAGATGTACGCTATAAACTCAAACAAAAATTCAAACTACCCGCTATTATTTTGATTTGCACCAGACGAAATTTCCACTCCCGGGGAGCACTTTGGTAACACTTTGAAGGAGGATTCTTGAAAAATCGTTCGAATTTTCACAAAAGGTTTCATGCAATTTCATTGCTTTGTTTAAGCCTCAACTAAAATCATACTCAAAAACCGATACCATAATTATAAATTAAAATGAAACATTAAACTCACCAGGTTATATGATAAACCGTTTCGGGCATCGCTTTGAGTTTAACTGTGGATATTTAAATCAATGTAAGTCGGCATGTATTCGACAGTTAATGTACACATATGATGTATGCATCAACGTGTGACTTAAATATCAATTCGTGATCATCATATTTGGCTTTCAAAAATTAAGGTGGAAGTTACAATGATAGGATAATACCGAAAACGTCAATCACATCCAAATATCCGAACGATGTCAAGTATTAACAATACACTTTTCGTGCATCTCGAACAAGGCAAGGCTCTGTGATCCAGCAATGTATTCCGAAAGAATAAATTCACAAATATCAACAATTTTCAGGAGTAGGAGATTACATTCGAAATCACAACTTTCAAAATATTTGTTTCAACCGAGAATTGTAAGAACTTGAAACATATTTTTAGTTTTTCAAACCGCATATCCTCATTTACGTTCTTTGACAAGGATGAATCCATTTGAAAATATGGATTTTCTTGATTATTCTTCAAAACCACCCTTGAAATATTAGTATGTAGGATATTACAATGTAAATGGACACGCATCTGTTTGCTCCATATCATGAAAAAATAAATGCAACTACCATCTGTCAATATTCGAAAACAGAAAGTTCATTCTATATTTAAAAAAGAAAAAATACATTTTTTTGTTTTTAGTGCAATTGTTTTTTGTTCCTTTCAACCAATTCTTGAGAATGAAATAAAATGTCTTTTCGAACCTCGTCGAACAAAATAGCATATACAACATTTTCTTAGACCTCTCAATATTACAGTTACACAAAGGAAATTTTGGTTGATTTAACAAAAAGTATGCAAAAACCTAAAACAAAACCCCCAAAATAGATTAAAATTAAGATAAACCTTTTATATCATTAACAAGATTTTAAAATCAACCAAACTTTCCTTTGGTGAGTTCCGCTTCAACATGAGAGCAGTGCAGACAGTGGTAGCAGAGTAGAGCAGTCCGGCAGAGTAGAGAGCAGTGCAGACAGGCAGAGCATAGTAGACAGTCAGAGAAGAAGGCCGAGACGACAGGTAGCAGAGCTGACAGGCAGAGTAGAGAGCAGGGAGATAGGCAAATCAGATAGATAGAGTAGACCGGCAGAATTGAGAGCAGGCAGGCAAGGTACAGACAGACAACTTGGAGCCAGAGTGTTTTTGATTCTTATCTATAGAGACATTGTACGTGTATCTGATCGCGTTTTTAGCCATAAAGGCATGTGAGGACATTCCTGAAATTTATTGTTATAATCATAGTGTTTAATAGATTGTTAAAGTCCCGTAGTTGATCGTTTTGTACATTTGTGTGTTCTCCATCTTCTAGCTCAGCGACAGCTGAAGCACCAAACCAGCTCGGCGCCTGTGAGAAACACCTCCGAATCCCTTGTTATCGCCACCAGACCTTCTCCGAGGGAGTACGGGTTCTCGGCGGAAGTTCTGGCGCGCGACAATATATTATCAATGAGTGAAGCAGAAGTATTTGTTATTCGTTTCGGTCTATATATGAGAGGGAAATAATGCCAAGCTCTGTTATTGTATTTAGGAGAATAGAGGATCCGTGAGCAGGGGCGTTATCCTGGTGGACCGTATAGGTCGACATTGCTCTTTGAGGACGTTGAAGTGTGTGACTAGGGATGTGCAGTGTTTACTGCAGACATCCGCTGATTGAGATTCTAGTGCGATATTCCTCTCAGATCTCTTTTCACCTCTGTAAGAAAATACATATAATTCAAACTGACAACATCAAGATTTGACCATATCAACAGTTTTTATTCATCAAAGTGATTATTTGATGTATAACAATAATTCATCATGTAAACCCTTAAGGTTGCCCCGTGTATCCGTGACAATGGTTACCCTAGTAACCATAACTTTGTCAATACTAAGTCGGTTGTCCAGAGATTTGGGTAGAATAAGGTCAGATATGTGTTGCTTATGTTGTAAAAAATTTCATGAAGAAATATGCAAGATAACAAAAGTTATAACAAAATTAGCAATGCTTATTGAACGCCCTGTACATCCACAAAATGTACATAAACAGACCAGACACTGGTCTTTAATTCATAATATTATAAACTGTATTATAGATTTTACGAATTGAAAATTAATTATATTAACACACCAATACTGGTGGATGAAATAGATAAATAAATAAATGGCACTTTCTTATATACTGTAGTACCTGTAACATGGTAGCATGGTAACATCGCAGTACCTGCCATGTTACACCCCAGTCACATTTCCTACGGCGACCTTGCGGTCTATCATTTCTGCGGCCAGTAGCTTTTCTACGCTCGCCGCAGAATTTCTGCGCTCTCATACTTCTGCAGTCACATTTCCCACGGCACCCGCACGGTGAATTTTAAATTTCTGTTGATAAATAATACTTTTTTCATAAATGTTATTCATAGTGCTAGGATGTAATATCAAATGAAAAGTGATCGTGAAACATTGACAAATGATGATTCAATCTTGTTGAGCCAGTTGATTTCTACGGGGACCTCAGAAATGAACAAATATTATAACTCCGAGTTATAATTTCTACGCCTTCCCTGCGGCCTGTAAAAATCTGCATACGCCGTACGGAGGCCGCAAGGCGAGCGTAGTTTTTCTACGCTCGCCGCAGAAATTCACCGATTTAATTGTTCTGCGGTCGACTTGCGGCCGCCGTGCGACAAATGTGACTGGGGTGTAAATTGCCCGAACGAGCCACCTATTGGTGAAAGTGATAACTGCTTGCATCTGGGTAATCGGAGAATGCTCTTCTTTGAATATTTTGAAGATAAGATACAAAAAATATTTGATGGACAAAATTTCTATAGATAGGACTTGATTTAGATTCTATTAATTATTACAAAATATATCATTATGGGTCTTTAATGCATCTAGTCACAATTACCACCCCAAGCAGTATTTGTGAAAATATCATTACCATGTTATCATACTCCACCCTTTCTTGCCCCTTCCCAACGGCTATTAATGTGCTCTTATTTATACTTATTTATTTATTTATTTATTTATTTGCGCTGCTATTCTTATATTCAATTTATGTTCAATCAATCAAACAGTATATGACATATATTGATGATTGCGCCGTATTTGTGATACAGTTGAATATGCCATGCATACCTGCGGTATATGGCACATTCTGCAGGTGAGTATGCGATACATTGATTTCAGTGAATACCGATACTCACATGCGGAATATGAAATATTTACTTGTGGAATATGCCATATACCGCAGGTGAAAACGTGATACAGAAAGCCAGAACAGATAATTGGTTGCAAAATCGACTCTAGATGTAGAATTACGCTGGGTTACCAATATAGTTAGTGCTTCGAGTACTAATATATGAATCCTGAAAATATTGAGTAAGTTATTACTTGAGATTGCTGAGTAATACTAAGTCTTTGCATTAGATTATATATCCAATGCACCGTGCTATTGATTTAGTAATCATTACTAAAAACTAATTTAACTTTTACCCGTTCGTTCAATCGATGCAATTGACAATTGCGTTCTTCCGTATGACGTTCTCATTGGTTGGTGAGAGTATGCCATGTACTGCAGGTGAATCTGTCATACACCGTAAGTTAATATGCCATATTCGTTGCGGAATTTGACATATATTTGTTTCGCGTTTACCGCGTAACAGCATACAGTATACACCTATCTAGGTATTAAGGAAATAAGAAATAAATGAGTAATCAGACATCAAGATTGCAAGCAATCTTACAGAGGGGTCGCGGGCCTTTTTGACAATTTGAATGTCAGCAAGAAGTTTGAATCTAAAATCTCAGGTCATTTATAAACTCCATGCGACTTCAAGGTGATTATTTAAAAAGTGTTTGGTCAATTTGAACCAAGTTGAAAATTGACCATCAAATATTTCAAAAGGGGCGCGAGTTGTTTGTAGAATGAATTGGAGGAGTTTTTTCATGCATTTCGCTTATGTTTTTCATCTTAAAATCAGGAATACACTTTAAACGTTTTATTGGCTGTGAGATTGCACCATATAATCCAAAAATTGGGTTGCGATATAAATGAAAGCAACCCAATAAGGTATATATTAAATATTAACCTTCTTGTTATCTCAAAATCTGCTTGGAACCACTCCACTGGATTAACATGGGAAATTCATCCAAGAGAATATTCAAGGGATTAAAGAAATAATGCAGTTTACACAATTTGAGAAATTAATATTGGCATACATGAAACCTATTTAAAACAGCATTTATATTATTTCAAAGCCTCGAGCACAATGATTCCCAGCCCTCTGAAGTTTGAAAAACAAAAAATACCTTGAAAATGAGAACTTTTTTTTTCATCAAGAGATTTTATTGCCATTAATCATTAAATGAGAACTTTTTGGAGGATTATACGATACGGAGCAATCTTATAGCCAATAAAATGTTTTACAGTGTATTGTTGTTTTTTTAGATGAAAAACATAAGCAAAATGCATGAAAAAACTCCCTCGATTCATTCTACAAACAACTCGCGGTCCTTTGACCATTCTTCGGTTTTGAGCTCTTATATCTCAAAACTTATGCAAAATGTTAATAGATACTTAATCAATAGCTACTATATGTGAACCCAGGGCCGTCAGATGGGGGGGCGGGTGCGATGGGTGCTACCGTACCCTCCTTTGTTACCCCCCAAAATAAATTTGAAAAAAAATTGAAAAAAAATTTTTTTTTTCATTGACTCATACACTTTTAAAGTACCCAGAAAGCACCAAATAGTATCTTAAAAGTGTAAAATTTTCTAGGGGTATTGGCCACCCCTCACACCCCCACAAAACAATGGAAAAGTTCTAAATTTATTTTAGTGTTTTGTCTCAGACACATTTAAAGTGCCCAGACATCATCAAATAGCTCCTTGATATAGTTAGTATTTCTGGGGGACTTGCTCCCCCTCTTGCATCTTACACTTGCATAACCCCCCCCCCTCTGGCGCCCCCCCCTTGACCCCCCCCCCAAAAAAATTGTGATTTTCTCAAATTCTTTAATTGACTCATACAATTTGAAAATGCCCAGAAAGCACCAAATAGCGTCGTAAAATTGTAAAATTTTCTAGAGGGAGTGGGCCACCCCTCACACCCCAAACAAAACAAGAAAAAGTTCTGAATTTGTTTTATGTATTGTCTCAGACACTTTTAAATTGCCCAGACTTCATCAAATAGCTCCTTGATAAAGTTAATGATTCTGGAAGACTAACACTTACTCGCCCTCTGGCATCCCCACTCCACCTTCCCCTCTGGCAGCCCCCCCCCTTAACAGCCCCCCCCCAAAAAAAAAATTAAATTAAAAATTTGAGATTTTTCAATTTTTTTTATTGACTCATACATTTTGAAAGTGCCCAGAAAGCACCAAATGGCATCTTAAAATTGTAAAATTTTCTTGGGAAATATGCGCTTTTAGGCGCAGACACTTTTAAAGTGCCCAAACTTCATCGAATAGCACCTTGATGTTGTAAATTTTGATATGGGGGAAAAACACTTGCTCCCCCTCTGGCACCCCAGCCTCACCTCCCTCTCTGGCACCCCTAATACCTTTAAAAGTGCCCAGAAGCACCAAATATCATCTTTAAATTGTAAAATTTTCTAGGAGAGTTAGCCACCCCTCACATCCCCCACAAAACAAAATAAAATATTCTGAATTTCATGTATTGTCTCAGACATTTTTTAAGTGCCCAGACATTATCAAATAGCACCTTGATATGGTCAATGTTTCTGGGGGACAACCCATTGCTCCCCTACTGGCACCCCACCCCACTTCACCCTCTGATCCTCTTTGACACCCCCAAAAGAATTTGAAAAAAAAATTCACATTTTCCTTATTGACTCAAATCGCACAGGCGTACCAGATGGTTGCAAATTCGCTCCAAATACAACCAAATTTCAAAATTTTCATGGGGGAGAACCCCCAGACCCCCCTGAATGTTCGGTTTTTATTCTCAGAAACTTAGTGCCCAGAAAGCACCAAATAGCATCTCAAAACTACTCCTCACACCCCCCACAAAACAATTGGAACGTTTTGAAGTTGCATTTGTTAATTCCAAACCAATAAAGGGAGTAACTGACCCCCCCCCCTCTGTCTTACGCGATTTGATTTACGCGTCAAAAAAATTGACAATTTTATATTCTCTTTAGTAAGCTAAAAACCGCACCCCCTTGGAGAAAAGTGTCTTACGGGCCTGGAACCATAAGGGGTAGATGAATAAATAGCTGAATAGGAAGCTGAGCAAGTTACTATGTGAATAGATGAATAGGTAGCTAAGTAAGTAGCTGAGTAAGTAACTGAGTAGGTAGCTGGGTAGGTAGGTAAGTGGAGGAGATAGATAGGTATGTAGGAATGTAGGTAGGTATGTAGGTAGGTTGTGATATTAATTTGGTGGCGGCGGGTTCTGATTTCAGATTCGGAATCCTGAAGGTACCTCAAAATTTAGAGAACTTTTTTGTTGACCTACTTTCTGGACATCATATCTCAAAACTGATCTTGGATATACCTATCATTCTTCTCTATCAGTACACAAGATTTCAAAGAAAAATATGAAAGTAAAATAGTGCTGAAATCGCAAAATCAAAGAAAATGACTTAGATTTTGACCTTGACCTTAGATCTTAATCTCGTATTTTAAACTAAGAAAAACGATTTTGAAAATCTGACGATTTTGAACTTGAAAGGTCTTAGATCCTGAACCGGAAATCGGATTCGGAATCATGTACAGTACATATCCATTGATGAACAATGTAATAATAGAAAAATGATAAGGCTAAGTTGAATGATGAACATCATTGAAGGCAGAATCAGATCTAGAAATTACTTTAATTACTTTGGTGCTTATACTTGACGAAACTTGTTTCAATTTTAGAATATTTCGGGCTCATATCATTCCTTGCCATGTCTATTTTCTAAAAATATCCTAATTTATACTTTGTTTGAGGAAAATTAAAGATTTTTACAATAATGCCATTCTTATTATTTGGGAAGATTAAAATACTGTCTCCCCATTTTTGCATTTTGAACCTGAAATAACTTCGCCAACTGATAACATATCACAGATGTTTTGGGAGATATTATATTTGAGCTTGTGAGGAATATATTGGTAGATCAATTGTACATATTGCGTGCAATTTTGTCACTCCCTATAGATCTGATTCTACCTTATTTAGTACAAACCTCATTCCATCCAAATGATGAACATCGATCTGGTACTTACGTATTTTGAAGCAGTTCGTGCGCGTCATACTTATGTTTTTGAAATGTGCCAAATACTATAAAAACATGTGAAACCACGTCAATGAAAACACAGAATTGTGTTAAGGGCTGATGTAAAGAAGTCAGTCCATCCTAGTGGGGATTGAGCCAGAGACCCATCGCTTTTCGGGCGAATGCTCTACCACTGAGTTGTGGGACCGATCGTCTCTTTCACATCAACACAGCATATATAACATTGCAGCCGTTACTGACTTAAACGTCCAGTTTCCTGGACCAAATATTAGTTTACCTGTTTTTCCAGGTTGTAATTCACTCAGTTGTATGATGTCACATCGTCATTCCCACGGGCCACTCTCCTATGGAGAGTTCTGGTTAATGAAATCACAGAATTGATCCTGTGCTAAGGGCTGACGTGAGAGTCCACCCTAGTGGGGAACTCATCTGATCAATTGATTTTTGGGGAAATGTTGATGAAATCGAGTATGTTGGTGTAACACCGATGTACTTTGTAAAGCATATACATACCATCGGGTTTAGTTACTCCATCTGACAACAGAATAACCTGATTGGGAGCGTCAGGACGATCCCCTCTCCCTGAAGTAAAATACAAATTCTCCATTCTTTCTAAAGCTGCATATGTATGCGTCGAACAGCCTACTTCAGTAAGATTCATTGTCGCTATACTCTGAATAAGTTTACCAGGGTCTTCTACGTCTGACAGATATGCAACATGTTGGGTTCCTTTATTAAAAGTTAGTGCACCCATTTGTACGCCATCATCCTCAATGCTGGGACTTAAGTTGAAAGCTCGAGCCATTTCAGTCATGAAAGTTCGAATCCTATCTTTGTCAAGATTGGATATGGAGCAGGATGTATCCACGGCAAATACGATATCAATAGGCTCCCGGCAATCTAGAGTAATTGCTGAAAAATAAAAATAAAGTAACTCTAGAGATGAACAGTATCATATTAAACGTACGATAATCGGAGTATCATAAGGTTATCTTACGTGGTTCACAAGTTTTTGTTTCGTTACTACAGCCCAGACCTCTACAACAATCGTCATCTGATGAACATCTCTGTCTTCTCTCTCTACAACCTATGAAATAAACGTTGACCTAACATACAAAACAAGAAGTCTGAAGTCTGAAAACTCAATGAGTTTAGATGTAAAAAGAGTAAGGCAGATTTTAAGATGATTTAGGCCTAGCTATTTCAAAGTGCATAATGTACAAACATGTTCCTGTAAATCCACATGCCATTACTTCATTGACATTTACGCAGCAGTCAAGTCCATTTCCGTTTCCATTCCCATTTTCACATGGTTGACCAAGTTCTTGACATATTTTTTCTGAAAAGTATTCGCATTGAAAAACTATGACTTCATTTTTAAAATTTCATTTCCGTAATCAGTCTATAAATAAGAAACAACCATTTTATCTAGCCTGCCCAATATTGATATTTGTTGTCCAAAACAATTTAGATATCTGAGTAAAATCTAAAATTGTGTAGAATCAGTGGTCGAGCAGTAAACCGTTCATAGTACCACGAAATCGTCATTTTTATGTAACATTGATAACCATGGCCCAGATTGTGTTCGGCTGTCATTAAAAAGTGTAAGTATTGTCCCATCATGATACACCATGACATCTCATTTCTTCTCAGCCCTGAGATGTTTCAGGTGAAACAGAAAGATGCTATGAGTATCAGAATGGTATTGTCCTCACATTTTCCCATTACAACAGGGTGTTTACCAATTAAGTGTGACAATTTAACGCGCGGGTAGTACCACTGAATAGTTGTTTTTACCTTCTGTACACTTTTGTGGATCTTTGTCCCATCTAACCGAGGTTCCGATTTGTTCACATGTTAATACAATTGGTCCCTCTGGCTCAAAGTCAGCATCGCATTCAACAGTCACCTGATCACCGCACTTGTTATTACCGACTGTCGGTAATCGTACTCCGTTATCTGGTGCTACTATATCAATACACTGTAGGCCTGTGAGACGATAGAATAAAATAAGATATATCAAAATCAGATGTATAGTTGCTGTGATGTTTGTAAATCTTTGCCTCTGTCCTTTAATACTATCAATATTCATTTCAATTACATTGGTAATAACATCAATACTTGTATAAGAGTTACGTGCAGTATGTAAGTGCTACGTTAGTCTTCTAGGGAAAAAAGCTTGTACAAACTTTCGCATGTTGGGACTGGACCATCAACTTCACCATTGGACTCGCACTCGACAGTTTTATCAATTTGACCAGCTGGATTTCTCGACAGCGTGTAACAGTCGTTGCAACTAAAACGTGTGACATCGTATCTATTAAAGCGGTAATGAAATGGCAGTGAAAGTTCTACAGTCTAAATTCAAAACTTCAGTCAATCATTGAGCATAAGCACAATATCGAAGAGATATTAATTGGGATGTTAAACGGAATTGCTTCTTCATAATTTCGGCCAAGCAATATTTTCACACAATTTTGCTGATTAAGGGAGAGGGGTAAAAATCTTGGGGGGGGGGGGGGGGGCGGGCTCCAGCTTCCCCTCCCTTCAACCATTAAAAAACGAAGTAGCTCATAGGCCAGTCAGAATGATCGAAAATTGTTTGCATTTTTAAGAAGTTGGCACATCATTTAATGGCAGTACCTGAATGATACAATCTCGCCAGGTTTGAATCGTCCTTGTTGATTCGGAGCACTTCCGGAGTCGATTCTCCCATTCTGCGGAGCAACGGGGTACTCACAATCGGGAGCTAAAAACACGTTTAGATTAAATTAAAATAAATTCCAGGGTATTTGAGATTCTATTTATGTAGTTTAATCCCCAACCCTTTGGGTTTATCGGCAAAATGAGGAAATTTTCGTTTTTATCGAATTTCCGTTATGTTTAATTTATTTTAACCGTCCTCCTCCGTTATTTTAGTCATCCTCTATCTATTGGTACATCGGTCCTGCAGCGCCAGACCCGGATGCCATTGTGGTGATTCCCTTTCTGAAACCTACCGCCATCTCTAGAAAAGTTGTGATCGTTCTCGATGAAAACCGAAAATGTCCTCGTTCTGCCGATTAACCCACACGATTGGGGATTCAACGACATTAAAAGAATGTTTCAAATGCATGGAAATTTCTCCTATATTGTAATCAGAAGTTAGAACGAAAGTTAGAATGTAAGTAATGCCTAGCACATTTGCCCCGATTCATCGGCCGGCGATTTTCCGACATGCCTTGGTCACATTTGCCCCGATTTTCACTACGGCGCCCGGCCGATTGAGTATTTTGTTCAAAATTGAATACAATATTGAACAAAACACTCAATCGGCCGGGCGCCGGCCGATGGATCGGAGCAAATGTGAACCAGGTTTAGAGTATTTTGTTTAAAATTGAAGGTCAAATCTCAAAGGATTGGTATCGATATGATGAACTTTTTGACCACTCGTTTCTCTTAAACCAGTCATCAAAACATTCTTAAAATTTTACACATCGTAATTAATTGTCCTTGTCTGACCACATTAGAAGAGCAGCTATTATGGGCGTGCACAATACATAGTACTTACCAATGCAACGGCCTTCAGTACACTTAAGATTTCCACCTCTACAACAATCCTCATCTTCCACACATGGCCCAGTCTCAGGCACACAGCATATACTTTCTTTGCATAGTAAACTGGTACCCTCTAAACCATCGCAGCATTCCCCCTCTGATCTACAACCTCGTTGCTGGACTTCTTTACATTCTATAGATCTAGGGGTATACGATGCTTCTGTTGTCACCTCTGTAAATTTTATATTTTTTTGAATATTGAAAATTCATTTTAATAAGCATAAATATTCGAAATAATGTTTAAAAACAACGAACAACTTGAGAATAAATAGAAAATCAAGTGGTGCAAAATAACACATAGCGAATATTTGAACACATCGAACAAGGTAAACAAAATATCATCTGTGAAAACCTCAATTGAGAATGATAGCATGTCAAATAAGAAAAATAATCAAATCCATGTCAAAACAACAAGTTAGGTGTTTTCTATTTAAACGTTAAACGGTATTCTGCAGTTAGTGTTACGCGGTATATGGCATACATTCATGGTTGCGCGGTATTTGTGATACGGGTGAATATGTCATACTCACCTGCGGTATATGGCATATTCCGCAGGTTAGTATGCGATATTCCGCAGTGAATATGCGATACATTGATTTCAGTGAATACCCGATACTAACCTGCGGAATATGTCATACTCACTTGCGGAATGTGCCATATACCGCAGGTGAATATGACATATACCGCAGGTGAAAACGTGATACAGAAAGCCTTGATTTGATTGGTTGCGAGAATCGACTCTAAATGTAAAACTACGCTGGATTACAAATATAGTTAGTGGGTCGAGTACTAATATATGAATCCTGGATTGATTGAGTAAGTTTATTACTCGGGATTGGTGACTGATACTTCTGCTAAGTTAATATATTCGATACACAGTACTGTTGATTCAGTAATCATCATAATAATTTATAACGTTTTGCTTGTTCGTTAAATCGATGCAATTGACAATTGCGTACTTCCGTATCACGTTCTCATTGGTTAGTGTGTATGCCATATACCGCAGGTGAATCTGTCATACACCGCAAGTGAATATGCCATATTCGTTGCGGAATATGACATATTTTTGTATCGTGTTTACCGCGTAACAGTTAGAACGTTAACCTTTTTATAAGCCTGTGTGAAAAGTCAAGCTATCCGATTAGCCCAGATTTCTGTAGGAATATTTTCAATGTTTCAATTCTATTATTGAAGATAGGATTCATATAGATTCTCATGATCCGGTGTTTATAAAACTTAGGATGTCACAGCGCATGGGCATAGCTGACCAATAAAATTTAGAACTGAATTAGCATCCAACTCACCACATTCTTGGTTCGAACTTTTGAATCTCTTGGCATTCGATTTTCGATCCAAAGGTTTAACTAATATACTAGAAGTTCGAACCAGAATGGTACCAAAATATTTAATTAAGATATCAAAATTGCACTTGCAAGATCACTTTTCTATTCAAACAGTTCGGCGTTCTGAAATTTGCACATTAGCGCTGTGATGCGCGCTGTGATGCGCATGCACGTTGTGTCATTAGTGTGTCATCAAATTTTCTCGAACGATATAGACGACCAATTTCCAGATAATAATGAGTGATTTTTAATCATTTTTTAATAATTGTATTAAGATACATGTATTGTCTGATTCCATCGTGTACCGTGCAATACTACAATACTGAAGAAACTACTATGATCAATCGATTTAAAGAATCGTGATCAATTAACCCTAATGTCTGCAACCTTTTTTATAACACTAATTCGCAGGATCAAATAAGTCCCCCCTCCACAAAGGTCAAATAATAATCTAAGTTTTCTAGAAGTTGTGTACTGTATTACTTTCAAAGATAGCAGACGAAGACTTTCATGAAAATGTTCATGAAATAAAGCATGATATTGAAAGTTATCTTGTTTCTAATACTGTAGAAAATACAAAGTAATCATTTTTGCTGTATTTGGTAAATAATCATTTACAGATTGAATTCACTTTCCAATTTTATGAATTTCATTTTTTAAAAAGTGTCATTTATTTGTTGCTCAGGTTAGAAAAATAACAGATGCACAAAAACCTTGCAAACAGTACTATTGAAAAATGAAGCATATTATATGGTATCCAAAAAACATTTCTTTAGGCTAGCGTGCTCGAGAATACCTTTACAATTTAGCACAATGAGAAAATATGACTAAAGAATATAGGGAAATTTAAAGCCTTTTTTATTCTCACTTTCCAACACTACGTTTTGGCGTACATTGTTCCTACGCCACTGGCTTCCATTTGGCCAGTCAGATGACTTCGATTGTATACATGGTTTTAAGAAACTGTTTGAATAGAACTGTTTCAATAGAATGATAAAAAGTTCGAATAAGAAAAACGTTTTAATAGGTTCGAACTGCAGAATACCGTTCAAAGTAAGAATGCAAAAAATTAAAACTTCAAACAAGAAAAATGAACAAAAGTTTATTCATAAAAGTTCATGTACTATATAGAACATTGAGTTTGGCGTATTAATTTCTTTATTCGACACACAATATTTTTCTTGGAGTTCTCAACATTTTCTTTGAATTATTTTTGAATCTGAACTGATTTTTTCTTTATTTGAAGTTTTGAAAAATATGCTTTGATTTAATTTTTTAAGATTTGATAAATTTGTTGGTGTTTTAAACAACATTTTGAATGATCAAAATATATCATAATGTAAAAGTAACCAGCTGGACTTGCGCTGGACGCATTTTTGCGATTTTTCAAAGGGAACGCGAAAAAGTAAACCCCTTGCGTTTCCTATGACGCACATTTTTCAGTTCAAATTCTTAGATTGAAAAAATAAACAAAATTGAATTGCCCGTATTCCTGCTTCAAATGTTCATGCAATGTTCGTGCAATGTTCATTTGAAATACTAAATGCAGTTTTTAAAAAGGAATAGCAAACTTTTGCAATAGCTAAAACCTGCACATCGCTCTAGCATGAAATCTTACGTTGTTCAACTGTAAGATTCTGAGCTTTAATAAAAGATTATACAATAGTGAGCAAATGGGGCTAATCTTGTGTAAAAATACTCACGATATACGTGTCATTATGCGGATTGGTATTTGAGATGCTTCGATTGTCACCGACGATGGTTGGAGACTCCAGAAGAGTTTCCCAAAAGATGGCCATTATAACATTTTACCCTGTATCTTATTAACGACTAGTATCCAAGCCTAGTGCAACATACCAC